CAGGCGACGCTGCGGTGGCCGGCAGACCTCGGTGAGCGGCCGCCTCGGCCCACCGTGGGAGAGCTTCGCCGTGTGCTCCGGACTTTCAAGAAAGGTTCCGGCGTCTCCTTCTGCGCGGTCAAGCCGCGGCAGCTCGACGAGTTATGCGACGCTGCACTGGAGGTGTTCCTCGACGTGCTGGTGGCCGTGGAACGCGACGCGCGGTGGCCCGAGCTGTCCACCAAGATCGGCTTTCTTGGGAAGCGGTTGGGCGGCGTGCGACCCATCGCCATCATCATGGTGCTGGTGCGCGTCCAGGCACGTCTCCGTCGGCCCATCGCCGTCGAGTGGGAGAGCAATAACGCCAGGCCGTACTGGTGGGCCTCTGCTGGGCGTAGCTGTGAGCGCGCTGCGTGGCACCAGGCGGCGATGGGCGAGTGGGCCACGGAGAAGGGGAAGCAGGAGGGCGACGAGACCTCCTGGGTTGCCGTCGCGGTGCTCCTTGACCTGCTCAAGGCGTTCGAGCAGGTGCGTCACCACTGGCTGCTGGACGCGGCCGTCCGCACGGGCTTCCCGCTGTGGCAGCTCAAGCTGCAGGTGGAGCTTTACTGCGCGCCGCGCATCTTGTGCCTCGGGCGGGCCGTCTCCAGCCCCATCCTGGCGAGGCAGGCCATCCTGCCTGGCGATGGCTGGGCGACCTCGTTCCTTAAGCTGGTGCTAATCGAACCGCTCGACCGCCTGTTGCGCCTGCACCCCACGGTATCGCTGGCGGTTGTCGTGGACGACCTGATGTTCCACCGCGTCGGCGGCATGGCGCGCGTGGCGCGCGAGGTGGCGGCGGCTGCCTTTCAGCTCAAGGGGCTCCTTGCTGAGATCGACCTCAACGTGGCGGTCAAGAAGTCTCGGGCGCTTGCGAATGTGCCTGCTGCACGCGATGAGCTCGAGCGACGGCTGCGACGACCGCTGGGGGTCCAAGCAGCGCGAGGGGAGCGCAACCTCGGCGTAGACTTCACGTGTGGCAAGCGCATCGTGCGCAGGGTGCGGCAGGAGAAAATGGTGCAGGCCGGCTTGAGGATCCGTCGTGTCAACATCCTGAAGGTTGGCAGGGGGCGGAAGCAGGCCGCCAGGAAGGTCGCCAGGTCGGGCTTGGAGGCCAGCGTCTCCTTTGGCTTCAGCGTCACGGGCTGCGCCGTGGGGGAGTTGGACAAGCTGCGCTCCCTCGTTTTCGCCGCCGCGGCGCCGAGCGTTGCCGGGCGTTCGAGGACGCTCACCCTCATGATGACGAGGTTCCTTGACCCGATCTACCGGGCTACGCTGCTGCCTGTGATGGCTGTGCTGCGCGCGGCCTGGGAGTCGCGGCTGCCTTCCCACGCCCTCGCGTTCGGCCTGGTGCAGTGCGACGCGGGCTCTTGGCAGCAGGTCCGCGGTCTGTTTTCGGCCGTCCGCACGTCGCTGGCGCGCGTCGGCTGGGAGATCGTGGACGCCGCTACCTGGCGCACGCATGAGGGCGTGCTGCTGAGGGTTTTCGACGTCTCCCCCTGGATGGTGAAGCGGTTGCTTTGGCGCGCAGGCGAGGCTTGGCAGCCAAACGCCCCGAGCTGGAGCACCTGGCCGGCGGCGGCGTGCTGGAGCCGCTCGTGCGCATGACGACCGCGGGCGCGGTGAGCCGCAAGGGCGTCTTCTGGGCGCACGTTCAACCTGCTGGCGGGGGTGATGGCCCCCAGCAGGCGCGCCAGGCGGCCTCCTCTGCGGCCTCGGACGGCCCGCCGGCAGCCCCGGCGGCTCGCCCGGCGGCCCCCGGCGGCCCGCGCGGCGCGCCAAATCCAGAGGTACTTAGTGTTTCTCATGTACCTCTGGTTCCTGGGCCGCCCAGCGGCCCCCCTGGCGGCCTCGGCGGCGGGCCTGGCGGCCTCGGCGCCCTCGCTGGCGCCGTTGGAGGAGGGCATCGGGCACCAGCGGCCCGCGCCCGCGCGCGGATCCCGAGGGGCTCAAGGCACCGAGGACCGCCAGACACACCAGCCTCGCAAGAGGCCACGCCGATCGTTGTCGGGCGGGCCAAAGTGACTACGGGTGTTAACGTGGTTTAAAAGGCGAGCGCTTCCTGGGGTCTGGGAGCCGCATAGGCCCCCTTTTAAAGGATACCATATGCTAATCCCACTCCCTGTTGTTTGCGCTCCGCCAGGAGTCGCTCGGGCCAGGACCGAGCCCACCCCCCCCCCCGACAGGCCCCCCCAGGAGGAGGCCCAAGCATGCTCCCCCCCCCAAGCTGGCGAACACCAGCCAGGAGGAGCACGCTTGGGCACCTCGGGTGGCACAGGGCCGCCCCCCCCCCCCCCCCTGGGAGAGCCAGTCGGGGGCGAGGTTATGGCTCCACGGACCCTAAACTGGCTGCACAGCGAACTCCACCACCGTAACCCGAGACCCTCACCCCATCGAACGCACTGGTTAAGATGGGAGACAGAGCGGTGTGTTTACCTCACTCGGCTTGCCAGGTGCAGGCAAGCGGCGCGCTGTCCTGGCAGCAGCGCGAGCGTCGTCGCTTCGGCGACGGCGCCCTGGACGCACAGGCGCGCCGTCCGCACGCTGGCCCAGCGCCCGCGGAGCAGCGTGGTCTCCGTGGACCCGCGCGAGCGGAAGTCGGCGCTGGCACCTCCTCGCCTCCAGCTGAAGAGGGTGAGCCTCTGGTCCTCCAGCAGGAGGCACGAGCGGATCTCCGCGAACACCCGCTGGAAGGCAGCGGGCGGCATGCCAATGGCTGGCTGATCGCACCGGCTGGCAGTCACTGCCAGCTCGCGTGCCTTCAGCAGCAGCGCCACTGCCGTCTGCGAGCGCACCATGACGAACTCTCCTGCTCCCGTCTGGCGCTGGCTCTTGGTGTCGCGCAGCCTGGTCATCGCTGAACATGAATTATCATAAGTAGTGGTGTCGTGCCATCGCAGCGCCATGATCTCCCCCGTCCTGAAGTACGCGCCATAGGCTGCCAGCAGGATGGCGGCGGCGGCTGGGAACCCAGCCGCGAGAAAGCCGCCGGAAAACGCCAGTGCGATGAGCGGGGCGATCGAAGCGCACGCCCTGCTGGCTCAGCACGCTGCCACGTGCGAGCCAGGCGCCAGCTCTCTCGAAGTCGACCGCGGAGCAGAAGGAAGTGGTGACACATACCTGCGATGGCACAGTTCACGTCGAGCAAGGACCCTCCAGCGGCCCAGCGCCCTTCAATGTAGTCAACCAGGCCCATATCCGCTTGCACTGCAGATTGGACATCACGCCTCTGCTCGACCCACCAGTCAAAGACGCTGTCGACCGCCTCCTGGCAGTGCTTCCGCGCGAGAGGAGTGATTGCCAGCTCTCGCAGGGGCCTGCTGCGGGCGGCCGTCCTTCGCGCCAGAGCCTTCGCTGCCACTCCCCCCGCATTGGCCGCAGCGCGCCCCTGTCCAGCGGGAGGGGGCGTCCGCGGGCATGTCGTCTGCGTCGCAGTAGCCGTATACATCGGGTAACAAAGGTCGCGAGCGCAAGCGCGTTGAGGCGCCTGATCCCTGGCTGGAGCCGCCAGGCGCTCGACCTGCACATCGCGCAGACTGCTGCCACCGCTCGGGCATCGAGAAGGCGCAGGTAGCGGCAGCTGTGCTTCGCACCGTCTCGGCAGCGCCACCTGGCTCCAGCCGCTGCGGCCTCCAGCTCCAACTCGGAGATGCGAGCTGGTCGCTGCCACTTGAAACTCTCGGCAAGTCGCCAAGCCCACAGCGACGTTCGCAGAGCCGACCTTGGCCACGCCCGAGCTCGGCACGGGGCCCCACAGTCAAGTCTGACGTCCGCGCCGCCCCGATCGGCCATGCGCAGGAAGTCGACGATGAGCCCTCGCTCGGCGGTAGCGTGCCTGTAGCCAGGAGTCTTGAAATCGGCGTAGATGTTCCAGTTGGGCTCCCGCTCGCCGACTTGCAAACACAGCTCGGCGGGAAGTGGCGCGGACAAAGCCCCAATTTGAGCCAGCCAGCTGCCGAAAAGGAACATGACGCACTGGACGCATAACGTGTTACCGACAAGGCATTACATGATGATGTCTCTTTCTGCCGAGAGGGCGCTGTCCTTAACGGCTGCTTCAAAATACCACCTATCAAACCCCATGGGCACACCTCGCCCCTGAGCGACAGGAAGCCGACCTTGCGCTCGATCGGCGCTCCGCAGCAGCACTGCGTCCTCATAGTTGCTGACCTGATAGCGGTGCTGATCTGCGGCCCAGCGCGCCAGCGCTGTGGAACTGGCACGCTCCAGGCCGACAGGCCTCAGCGGCGGGTGTCGCCGCGGCACTGGCCTGGCGAAGCAAGGAATGTCCACCTCGGGGTCGTCCAGCCCCCAACCTGGCAGAGGCCAACGGTCAGCAGTGGCGCGCTCCACGCTGACCTCAACTTTGTTATACTGACTGCTGCCTCGATGCTCGCGCCACGCGGAAGGTGACTGCAGGCGGGCCAGGAACACCAGAAAAGACGGGGCCTGCGCACCCTGGTGAAGTCCCTAGCCTCTAACAGCAGCGGCGCGACGCCCAGCGCCGGCGAGACCTGGCCCCTCGCCTCGGCGCCCATGCTGAGAACATTCTCGACGAACCAATCGACACGCTTGCCGAACGCGCGTTTGGGGACCTCGATGAAGGCAGGGACCTTCCAGAATAACTTGCCCCTGTCTCCTTCCAGGCCCTTGCCCACCACGTCGAGGGTAGAGAGACCCCGGCACGGACTCCCCGCGGCAATGAAGACCCAGTAGGCGTCGCGCCTACACCCCTCAAGCATGCGGGCGAAGCGCTCAAGGTCCAAGGCCTCGACGTTGCCCAGCTCAATGACGCCGGGCCACCGCCGCCGCACCAGCCGCCGCGCTGCCGGCTCTACCTCCGAGCAGAGGTGGGCGGCCACGCTCATGGGCAGGCGATGCGCGGCCACGGCAGCGGCGGCAGCCCCGGCGAACAACTCCACTAGAATGACGCGCGGCCGCCATCGCATCATCTGTGGCGCAGCGACGGGGGCGTGCACGGCTTACTCGCACAGCCCCCCTTCGCCCGTGGCTGCCAGCGCGCCCCGAGCAGCGAGGCCAGCGGAATAGCAGATGCCGCCCGCCTGCTCGCTCGCATCCGTCGCGATCACCCCCGCGTCGATCTTGGCCCGCAAGCCGGTGAAAGCCAGCGGGAAGGCCATGCAGAAGACTAAGAGCTCGCCGCACATGACTGAGGGCACAGCTTGCGGATACCGCCACTGCCCAGCAGCCCAGCACTCGTTCAGGAACCCCATGAACGGCCGGCGGAACTACACAGCGGCCCAGCACCACGAGCATCGCCTTGACCGTGACCTGAGGCTGGCCCATCACCCACATCACGAGCGCTAAGAGCAAGAGCTGCTTCTCGACTGTGACTCCAACTCGGCCGACCACGCCGTCTAGCCCAGCACCCATGCGCTCTAGGACGAGCTCGCGGTGCTTGGCCTTGCCTTCAGCAACTCAGATGCCGCTCCTCTGGTAGGCGGCTCGCTGCTCAGCCTGGACATCGCTAAGCGCGCCGGCCAGCTCATCCAGGCGGCTACTCTGGACGATCTCCCCGCGGTCCCAGTCGTCGATGTAATACTGCACCCAGGCTTGCTCCAGCTCGTTCGCTCCCAGGGGCAACGGGCGGTCCTTCCTCCACTCAGCTCGGGGCGGGAATCCTGCAGCAAGTGGCTTCAGCCCAAAGCCGAGGCGCCGATGGCAGTGCTGGAAGACTGTGACAGCACTTATCCAGCCCATCGGGATGACGCGCAGGGCGATGTCGCCCCCCCTGCTCCGTTGACTCCGATGAGCTCGTTGGGGATCGCCTCAGCTAAGGTCATGTAGGGCTGCCAAGCCTCGGGCAACTCGTAGCAGTAGAATGCTGGCGCTTGATCGTCGGATGACCACAGCAGCACATGCCCCTCAGGAAGTGGAATCGAGACCCACGACGGCGAGGCACTGAGGGCCCCAATGTCATCCCGCATCGTCCGCTGGTAGCTGTTCGCGGGGACCATGTTGATGATGAGACGCTGCACCACATCATGACCAGGAGTGGGAGTTCCTCCCTTGGCGACCCCGAAAGCACCTGCTAGCACCTTCCTGTTGCCCACCTTGAAGATCCGGTCATCGGCGATGGGCACCGCGAGGCCTAACTCCACCAGCTTGGCGCCAATGCCATGCCACTCCGCCTGCGAGCTAGCCTGGATAGCCGCCCGCGGCGCCTCTTCCGGCCACTCGGCACTGGGCAGCAGTGCCAACGTGGGATCAGCCAGCCACCCAGCCACACGTTCATCGGCGATGTCCAGCGCACGCACCGAGGCAGCAACGCCTCTCGGCGGGAGGCCTGGCATGACACCTCCCAGCGTGAGCGGCAGGGCCCGCGATACCTCCTCGCCTCCATACGTGACATCACGTGCAGCAACGACCTCATGCCAGTCAGGGACCTGGAAGTGCTTCGTGGAGTCTGATGCGAAGTACTTGGCAGCCTTGCGAATGACGCGCATCGAGCTCTCCTGTGCGGCCGTAAGAGGTCCTGTGGGGACCGGGCTGCCATTAGCGCGACCAGCATATTTGTGGTTCAGGGAGTGCACGACCAGCACTGCCCAGCCCTCAGCGATTGCAGCATCCAGGCCAGTCTCGGGGACCGTGCCATGGTCCAGCCACTCTGCACGGCACCTCAGAAACCCAGGAGCGCCAGGAATAGGAAGCGGCAGCACCTCGCGCATCCGCGCGCGGCGCGCTCGCTGCACTGGCGGAGCGCTACGAACAAACCTCCCGACATCTCCTGGAGCACCGCGCACCGCCTCGTAGAGCATCATGACTAGCTCGAACCGCGGTCGCCCTCCTGGCCCCCCTGCACTGGCGAGTAGCTTCCTCCAGCGGCGGCTCTGCACAGGTCCTCGCAGGCGCTGCTCCTCGCCCGCGCCTGCAGCACCTGCATGGCCGTCAGCAGCAGCTGCCAGGCTATGGCCTGCCTGGCTGGGGCTCAGCGCCTCTCCGGGGCCCAGGGCTGCCTCGCCACCCTGATCCGGGTTGCGCCGCGCCCGCGGCCTGGAGCTGCTCCGCGCCCGCGACCTGCAGCTACTGCTCCTCCTTTCCCGCTCCAACCAGCCATCTTCGAGACGACCAGGCGCGACCTCCAGTCGCGTCGACTCTCGTCGGGGCGTCGGGGGTTCGCAACCTTCGACTCCTTCCACGCGAGCTGAGGGCGAGGGTCGGCTGGCGTGCTGTCGGGACTCCCGTCCGCAATGGCTGGCAGCTCTGGAGGTAGCCCGCTCTGCACTGCTGCTGCTGCTGCTGGGCCCCCGCTGAGCCATGGCGATCCTGGCGCCGATCGCGGGGCTGTCCTCTGCTTGGCTGGGACCGCGCTGCTGACTCCCACTGGCGCGCGGCTCGCCAGGATCCGCAGCGCTGCACAGCGCCCGCCACGGGCGTCGCTGCCGGGGTCTGCGGTCTCGCCTCCGCGAGACTGTGGCCAGCAGGAGCCGCTCCCCCCCGGGCTGGAGAGGGCCCCCGGCCAAACCCCTAGCCCGACAGGAGTCCTCTCTTGTCGGCGAGGCGGCGCTTCAGCTCGGCGACCTTCATCTCGCGCGCCTCCACCCGCTCGGCTGCAGCCTCCTCGTCGCGGGACGCGCCAGCGGGCAGGCTCTCGCTGGGGATCAGCGCGGGCCACCTGGCACTGCGCCAATGGCCATCCCGCAGCGCCACCGTCCTGGCCTTGAACTCCTGCATGAGCAAATCGCTGACCTCGACGACCTGCCCGCGGAGCAAGCCGTCGATCGCCTCGCCCAGCGCCCGCGGCACACGCACCTCGCCCACGTCGAGCGTCCGCGGCGGGTGCGCCACGAAGAACACCGTGTTGAGGTACTGCGTCGCGCACGGGCCGAGGGGGTCCGCCTGACTGGGGTCTGCGAGCAGTTGAGTGAACTGGCTCCTGAGGTGCGCCAGCCCATTCTCCAGGACGACCCCCGGCCGCTGCTTCGCGATCCTCTGGAACAAATCGCGCCTGACGTTGACCCCCCGGTAGGTGTCGCGATCCAACACACCAGAGCCCTCGTCGTTGAGCTCGCTGCCATCCTCGCCGCCAAGCAGCGCCGCCGTGAGCATCGCGGCCAGCCACTCGCGTCCAGCAGGCGCTGCAGAGACTCGAGCACCCCTCCCCGCAGCTGCGTGGTCCTGCACGCGCTGCGCCACTGCTCGAGCAGCGCCAGGCACGGCAGCATTCTTGGCGACCGCTCGGGATCCCGAGCCGCCACCCGTGCCTCCTCGCAGCCGCTGGCCAAGCTGGGCCAGGCGCCCGTCCAGGGCTGGGTCCTCGAGCGCCCGCTCCAGCCCTGCGACCTCTGCGTCGAGCGGGTTCCCGCCGAGCGGCGCTGCGCCACCGAGAGCGGCACTCAGCTCCTCCTTGCGGGCCCGCTTGGCCGCTGGCTCGCCCTCGCCGCCATCGGCCCCCTCCGTCCCTGGGGGCGGGGGCTCCGGCAGTGGCGGCAGCGGCGCTGGCGGCATCCCAGCATGCCGTGCGGCGCCCTCGTCGCCTGAGCCAGCCTGGCTCGCCCCAGGCGCCGGGCCGCCAGCGGACTCGACGCGCAGCCCTCCAGCAGCCCGCGGGGCTAGGTGGTACTCCGCCTCCAGCGTCTCCAATTCGCGGGGGTCGACCAGCCGCCAGATGTCGACATGCTCGACGCCTCCAGCGCCGATCGGGCAGCCCGCCGTGCACTCCTCCTGCGGGCAGCCGCAAAGGTGGTACAACGTACCCTGGGGCCTCACGCCAGGCTTGCCCTCGGCCTGGGCATACCAGCTGAAGTACCCGTCGGTGGCCCCCACGTGCTGCGCGCGCAGGTAGCGGCCGCCCGCCGACACCGCCTCCGCGTTGGTCTCGTCGAGCGCGCAGGCGATCTCCACGCGCAGCAGCTCGCGGCCCTGGGCGCGGCCCTCGTAGTCGCGGACCTTCACCTCCAGGTGATCCCCAGCGGCCAGCCCCACGGCGCCCAGCAACTCGCCTCTCGACCTCCCGTCGAACCATGCGCCTCGAGGGAAAGACCAGCGGGGCCCTCGAGCGCGCATCCGCCGCCAGCGCCTCACGGCACCATCCACACAACTCTCAGCGCGGTGCCGGGAAAGCGTGGGACTGCGGCCAGGGGAGAGTGGGGCTGTCACTGGCCGCGAGCAACGTGGGGGACCTTCGCCCCGAGGTCCCTCGCACCTCCTGCCCCAGAAAGGCCAAAGCCAAAGTGACTACGGGTTTAAACGTGGTTGAAACGGCGAGCGCTTCCTGGGGTCTGGGAGCCGCATAGGCCCCCTTTAAAGAATACCATATATATATATATACATATACATATTAAAAAAAAAAAACTCCAACCGCGTCCGCGTGCACGACGACGATGAGCGACGAGCGACGAGCGACGAGCGACGAGCCACGAGCCACGAGCCACGAGCGACGACGACGACGAACATCATCATCATCATCATCATCATCATCATCATCAGCATCATCATCATCAGCAGCATCGTCATCATCATCATCATCATCATCATCATCATCATCATCATCATCATCATCATCATCAGCAGCAGCAGCAGCATCAGCATCATCAGCATCAGCATCAGCATCAGCATCGTCAGCAGCATCATCAAGACGTTAACATCACGGCCTCGGGACGCCCTGGCACGCCGCCGCGGGCCGTTGGTCCGCTGGTCGTCGGGGCTTCCGCGGCGGATGTTTGCCATCGGCCCTGCTGGCCTCAGACAGCAGGTTGGTAGCGGGGAAGCGCCCGTCTGGCTGGTGGCCTCGAGGGGCCTCAGAGCCTGTGCACGGGAATCCCACCAGCCCTCTGAGCGTAGGTGGTCTAGAGAGCTTTCTCTTCCAATCCCCTTCTTCCCCTTAGCGGAGGGGGGTTACCACTGTTCCCGATTAATGTACACTCCCTCCCCTTCCCGGCCAGCGGCCGACCCGGAACCATAATGACCCCATGAGGGCCGCCCCCCCACCATCCCTGTCAAAAAAACGCACTTTGCCTCCACATTTGGAGCATGCGCGGCCGCCCCGCGACCATTTTGTGTTGGTATGTTACAGGGACGGCTGGGGCGCTAGCAGATCCCACCTGCCTTCTGGGCGCAGGTGGTCAACCGACTGGTTCGACACATCAGTGGCTGCTGCCCTTCTCGCACGTTTGCTCCTCATGCGTGGTTGGGGGGGGGCGCGCGCGGTGGCCAGCAGCCACAAGCGCGCGGTGGGGCGTGCGCACTTGATAGCGTAGCACCAGTTGCGGCGCACGCAGGCGGAGCCCCATACCGTTTCCCAGTGGTCAGCGCACCTGGCGCGGCTGGAGCACGTGGAACACTGGGCGCACGCGGAGCACGTGCCGCACCTGAGGCGCCTGGCACGCTTGGGTCTCCAGGGTCTGATGCATCTGGAAACCGTGGCATATGTGGCATGCTTGCGCGACATGCTAACTCCTGGGTGTTGCGTATGTGTCGGGAGGGCGGGTGGGAGGGAGCAAGACGACTTGCGGGCGGGTGGGAAGCCGGACCCTTGCCCATACCCCCTCCCCTGGACCTGGAGGGGGGGGTTCGCGAGGCGTTGGAGCGTCCAAGATGGCCCAAGACGGCTCCGAAAGGGCTCCAGGATGGCTCAAAATAGCATATGATGGCTCCAGATGGCTCCCACAATGCTCCTAGAGGCCCCAAGGCCGCTCCAAGACGGCTCCAAGTGGCCATGGAACTTCCCCAGGAGGCAGCCAACCTCAAAAGTTGGCCTTTCTCGCTGTGATTGCTTTCGATGGCCTTCCGAGGCCTCAAGATGGCTTCAAGAGGGCCCATGAGGGCTCCAAGAGAGGCCCAAGAGAGCCCCAAGGCGTCCCCAAGAGCGCCCAAGAGCGCTGCAAGAGCGCCACGAGAGGGGCCCAAGAGGCGATGTGTGGGGCTCCCTAGGGGGGAGCGTAATTAGAGCTGCCATCTTCTTTGATCGGTCTCCTCCAAGATGGCCCCAGCAGCGCTCCCAAAGCTCCTAATAGCGCCTTCAGAGGGACTCAAGAGGCGCCCGGGAGGTCCCAAGAGACACCCAAGAGGCCTCCAAGAGGCCTCCAAGAGGCTCCCAAGAGACCCCAAAGAGGCCCAAAGACCCAAGACGCACGAAGAGCCCCCCAGGACCATCAAGAGACCCCCAAGACGCTCCAAGAGGCCCCCACTGGGAGGGCCCTTCCTCTGCGTGCTGCCCACTTCCCTGATCGAGGCCACTCCTCTGGGCATCGCTTCTGGATGGGCTGGTGGGGTTACGCGAGACGTCTAGAATCTAGCATTGCGTAAATGAGCCCCACTCCCCCACCCGAAGGCCAGTACCGATCAAGCAAACATCACCGTCATGATCACCAACACCACCAAAACCATTCTCACCATCATCACCATCATCGCCATCATCAACCTCACCATCGTCACAGTCACAATCACCACCATCATCACCATCACCATCAGCAGCATCACTGTCGGACAGCATCAGCACGAGCATCAGCATCGTAAACATCATCATCATCATCACCTTCATCACCACCATCAGCATCATCAGTATCAGCATAATCCTCCTCAGCATCATTACCATCACCACCATCGTCATCAGCATCATCAGCATCATAATCAGAATCACCAGCATCATCAACGGCAACCCATTCATTCGCATCAGCAGCAACATCAGCATCGCCATAATCAGCAGCGGCATCCGCAG